GGTATTTTTGTGAGGCAGCTGCTTTCCAAAGCGAAATGAGCTCATCAGGAGTCACCCAACAATTCTGCAAAGAACAGACTCCCAGAGCAGTTTCACACTGAAGGGCCATCTGCAGAGGACTAAAGCAAGCAACAGTTGGGCCAGACAGCTAACAAACTGATCACTACAACACTAAGAAGGTCAAGATCTGAACCCCCTACCCAGTGTTGGCTGGGTTAAGCCATCATGTAGTTCACTTTGTTTTGCCTTACAGTGCTGTGGGAATCTAACCACTATGGTTTGTAAGGCATGGATTACAGCCTGATGATCATTGTAAATTGTTGGATCTTATTCAATAAACTTTGCCTAAAGCAAACTCTGCAAAGTCTGCCATTGTGTTATTTTGCTTCTCTGGTGAAGGCACACCAGGGATTTTCCATCTCCTCCTTGAAGGGTCCAAGGCCATCCTCAGGCTCTGCATATATTACAAACTTGTGTTGGATATAAAACAAGAAACCAAGATTCATAAACTTTGCCCTTCTCTACAAATACGATCGCTACACCACGCTGAATTGTTCAGCATATTGTCAAAATGGGGGCTCCCGATTTGTTGCTTCAAGGCAAGCCAAGATTCCTTAAACCAAGAATTCCAATTTGCAATCCTGGCTTAGGGTGCAACAAACTATGGTTCAGACTTTTGTTTAGCAGTCACATTAACAAAAAGGAGCAATGTGGGAGTGAATGGACTATGAAAATGTCCTGCAAATATGGGCACTGAGATCTGAGAAAAATGTCCATGTGCACAGAGCAACTGTAGTTCACTTTTTTAATAAAATCTTTTAGCGTGAAAAGGTACTACCAGACTCCTCCTGATTTTTGGTCACCATAGACTAACATGGCCTTCCCTCTACAATATGTGCCTCTGCATGTGTGTATGGGCATATGTGTTTAAAGGCAAGTTTCTAATCTGCCAGTTTGCAGCAGGCTTCCATTATCAAAGATAAAATGACTTCTGGATTGCTCATTTCCTTTTGCCTATAATTTCTACCCAACTCATCCATTTCTCTCTCTTTGCCTTTTACTACCCTGACTTTGCAAAGAAGGAAACAGTAAAAAGAAAGCAAGAAAGAGATTAAAAATAGAATAATTTAGTTAATCATGGCATGTGCTTTACCAATGGTGGTGGGCAAAGGAAGAGACCCCGAAGAACCACCTAAATTCCTGCAGCTGAAATATCTCAAGGCCCTTTCTTATAACAGTGCATTCTCTCATTCCAACCCAAGCTGCTTAGTGCCCAAGGAGGAGAAAAGCAGCTGAATGGAAACGGGTGATGGAGCAGCACATTTTAAATTAGAATGCAGCAGAGGTCAAAGTGTTATTCCCACAGCTGTAGCAGCAGGCACCACCAGCCTGTTTGGAATTCCAGTGTCAGCTCCCCACGCACACCTACTCTACAAACTGTCTGCGTTAGCGCTCTTATTTTTGCTGAGTTAACCTCGCCAAATTCAGGCTGTTCCTGGGGATTCAGTGCAGAGAGCTTGTACTGTGAATGCATGCTTGTATCAAGCCCAAAAATAAGTCTTTAACCCATATAAGGTAAGCAGTTTTGCTGTATTTGTACAGGCTGGGCAAATGTGTTGCATGAAGAAGAGCTAAACATGTATCCTAGGAAGGGAAGATTGGCTTCTCAGGAAAAAGCAAGGACCTTTTGTGATACCTATGTTAACACCTTGAGAAAATCACTACAGTATATCTAATAGATCTACCTTGATGAGCACATGTGAGAATTAACTCTGATTCCTTATCTTCTTATGAGTCAACAGCTGGAAGGGAAACACAACTTGATTATTATAGTAATCAGCTGGATTTCTGCAACAGAGGTTAGTTTTGAACACAGGACCCCTAGTTTTAATGCAGATGGGTCTCTAGGTGGCCTTAGGCAAGCAACTCTTTTACAACTTAATCTATCCCACAAGATTGATGCAAAGATAAAAAAAAAATACAAATTACTTTCATATACTAAGGGAAAGGGGTAGAACCAAGTGTGTTACTATTAAAGGACCCACCTTTAAATGTAAAAGTAAATTCTTTGTAGCTTTACAACAAACAAAATAACTTTTTTCCCTGGGTTTCCTACAATCAGAGATGCCTCATTCCACAATTAAGACTTGTCTTTTTTTTTTTTTTAAAGGTGAACCTACAGTATTTGAATTCTTCTTTTGCATTTTAGTCATGTTGGGTGGTAGCACCAAGCTGACTTTGGCTGGTTTTGAAAAATAAAAATAAACTTAAGTGGCCAAAGGCATGCTACAACCAAGTTTATGCATCATACTAAGCTGATGTCATCAGACCTTGCTCTGCCCAGTTTAGGCAGGAAACAGATAATCCCAGAAACAAGTCCCAGATAGCTCCAATCAGTGATATTTATTAGCAGGGAAACAGTTTGGGAACTGACACACCCAAAATCAAACAACCCATATTATACTTTGTTGCACTGTGTGAACCCAGCCAATGGCTATTCTACATATTACACTAACCCATGCTTTACATGACCATAAATGTTGAATGTCAGTTTGATTTGCAAGCCACAGTAAGCCATAAATAATGGTTTATAACCACGATAGTTGGGTTCACACATTGTGTCATACCAAAGCAAAGAAATCACATTATGGCTTAACATAATGTATCAACCCAGGAAATGCATTCATAGCTCACCTGAGATTTGAATCTTACAGCCTGTTTTCAGTCAAACCTAAGATTCTTGCCACTGCACTATTCTAAACTAAAACAGCCAATCAACATTTACAGGCTCTGCAAATTTGTCTGTCACCAAGTAATTATAAAACATATTTCATTGATAATATAATCAAGTAATGATGACATACTTATTCAAGAACACTCAAGTGAAAGCCCTGAGACCAAGTTCTGCACTCCCTCAGCAAAGTAGGGCGCAGCCAACCATGAGGACAAATGCTTGACAATACCTACCTGACCTTGGCTGATCTCAGAAACTAAATAGGGTCAAGTCAGGTCCAGTCTCTACTTAGACAGAACTGGAAATCCCTGGTTTCCAAAGTATCCTGGGAAGCCAACTCTCCTCCCACCCCCTGCAAAAGCCAAGGAAAATCATTTCCATATTGTTGCCAGGAAAACTATGTGGACATGTCTGTGAAGCTACCACTTAACCCAAAAGAGTTTTATTATCTTTTTAAAATAATTTAATTCACTGTTGTTTAGTTTGCAAGCCTTTGATTGCATGCAGAAATTACTACCGTATCCCTGCATTTATATTCATCATTTTCAATTTGTTCCACACAATTTTTCTTTCTTAGTTAGCATTTAAATGAGTAAGCAACATTTACTGGACTGATTACACTGAATTAAGAATTCTGTGTAACTCAAGAACATACATCTATGCTCTAATAGAAGATTTTGATTTGGTTTATACATCATATTAAGCCATGGTTTAATCAGTATTTGCTAAATAAAGCTGCAATTGTCTGGGCTGACAAACATGCTAAGCTATAACTTTGGTTTATAAACCCCAAACATTGGATTCACAGGACATGCTGAGCCCCAAGTATGTTATACCTTAACTTGAAGTGCAAATCCATCTCTTCTCTACTTGCATGTCCTTAAAATAAATCCTCGCACTGAGAGGTGCTGCTTCCTGCTTTTAAACAGAAGCAACCCAAACTGGCTGATTCACAATGGGAACTGGTTTCCAGGCAGGCGAGAGGTGATTTCAGAGCCACTGGTCAGGGTGTTTCATAGAAGGGATTGCAAACACATGTCTGCACTGATCTGACATAACATTCCTGAACAGCAGGAGACAGAGAACTACAAATTTCAGTTCTAAGCACCCCTTCCCTCCCTAGCCACACACAATCAATCCCTCCCTCCATAGTTCTTTACATTACCTTCTGGTTAACAAACTAGCACAAAGTTTCCCCTGGAGCCCAAACTTTAACCTCCTCTAGTTATTTCCCGTTGTTGTTTGAAACAGCCGCTGCTACTGTTACTACACAGAATTAGTTCAGATTAACTGATCCAGAGCACTTCGAAGTCCAGGCTCCTATGCTCCTGATCACCATGAAACCCGCCCTTCAGATGTATGGCGATACTGGGAATTCTGGGAGTTGTGGTCCCAACTCAATCCGGAGGAAACCAAGTTGAAACGGGGAGGGGAGCGGGTTTGAAAGAATCTAGCCAGCAATGCTATAGCAACGTTCAAGGGAGAAAATCCCTCTAAATTCAACAGATTTAAGGCTTGTCCATTATGGAAAGCCTAGGAAGCAGTAAAGAAACAAAAAAAAAACACGCGGCATCTTACGAACAGATCTGCCAGGGCAAAGATGCTTTTCCCGGAGACCACACTCCATTCATCAGATACGTTAAGCGATCTGTTCAATTTCATTTAAAGCGCCCACGCTTCTTCTCGGCAGCGCTTTAAATCAAAGCTATGGACAGACAAAAGTTCCCTAAGCAGAAATCGGAACATTCAATACTTTTACGCCCTCTTCGCATGGTTCCCCAGCTCAGTGCGGACGTGGGAGCAACAGCTGTCCAAAGCATTCTGGACGCGCGGAAAGTAACTTTGATTTCGAGACGGCGCACCAAAGGCTACAGAGGAACAAAAATCGGTTCACGCCTCCCCTAACGGGTCATCAAGCGCGCGTACAGGTAACAGCGCAAGGCGATTTCCGCGTGGGCTGGCAAAGGTCCTGCGGAGACAAACGATTTTGAATAATCCCTGGACAAGGCGGTGCCCCGGACGGCCAGGACACAGGGAAACACCTGCCCATGGACGAATGCGTCCGCTCGGGGATGCAGCTTTGCCAAAAGAAAGGGCGGCCGGAAAAAAAGATGGAAGAAGACCGCTCAATCGTAATAAGGAGCCTGCACGGACGCTCCTAATCCTAACAGGGAGCGAGCGGGAAACTTTGGCGGATCGAATCCCGTCACGACCGCGGAAGGGGCGGCTCCCCCGAATCCCTCTTGCAGAGGGAAGAAAAACTCACCCGGTTTCTCAAAGCGCGGCTGCAGCCGGCGGCCAAGCCAAAGCCAAAGCCAAAGCCCTCCGCCAGATCACGCGCCGAAAGCCGAGGCTGAAGTTAGACCGAGTCGCCAGGCAGGAAGCTTTCCCGACCGAAGATCGCTAGCAGAGAAGAGAGGAAGGGGAAAAAGCAGGCGGGTCACCAACGCTCCGGGGAGGTGGAGACTCCGAGCCGCAAGGAGGGGCTGCGAGAGGAGCCAGCAAAGCAGCTCCAGCCCGCGGGACAATGATTAACTCAGAGCTACCTGAGCCGCTGAGCAAAGTTCCTCACCTTCGCGTCAGAGCAGGCGGGGCGATCCCTCGCTGCCGTGCCGTAGCTCGGGGCAATAGCGCCGTACCGCCCCGAAACTCTTCCTTCCCCTCGCGACTGCAGAAGAGCCGTGAGAGAGAGCAGGAGCTTTATCACCTGCTGAAGATGCGATTTCCCAGTGACACACGGCGTGAGTAACAGGGAGAGGAAGTTTTGCGCCGGATTCTTTTCCGCGCCGGCGTGATGGCGGAACCCATGATGGCTTTTCACCGTTTCCTTCTACTTCATTCTACGGCAATGGCGTTTTTGTCCGTTTTGCCTTCGCTCATCTGATACCGGTGGAGAAGCTACAAACTCCAGATTAGGACTCAGTATAGGCTGGGCTCAATAATAAATCATCACCATCCTCATCCTTCGCATCATCCTGTTCTTGTCCTAAGTTCTACATTGGACAAGTGGCAGCTTTGCAGAGAGGAGACCCATGTCTGCCGTGCTCTTACCTTAAGTGCAAAAAGGCTTCCTAGCAGAGGCTTACGACCCTCTTCTAAAGTAAAACACCCAAGAGATCATCACTACGTTGAACCAGTGCGGGGTTCTGAAAATTACTAGAACTCTTCCCAGTTGCTACATGGTACAAAGTAATGAGCCGTACGTGTCAGCCTGTAATGGATATAATGGTTCTGTGAATATATTTCAGCAATGCTGTGCCAGAATTTTGTATTAATTTCTCACATGAATACACTTGGTCTTAAGTGAAATTGCCTGTTACAGGTGAAGACTAACAATTTCATGATAATGGGATAACATAGTTTGCACAGTAATTGAACAGTATTTTAGTACGTTTCATGAAAAAGAGGTTTCATTTCTCCACTAAATGCAACTCTCAAATGTTAACAGTAAGAGATCAGAGGTTCTTGAAAACGTCGCAGGAAAAAAGCATGTCTTGTCACCAAATTAAGATGAATCTCTCTCCATTTGTTGTAACTGTGAAGAGCTCAGTGAAGTGGAGAAATTTGGACTCCATTCAATAGATTAAAATTTTGATCTAATTGCTTGAGCAAAAAGGGCCATTAAGCCAAATGGCATCTGTTTGTTTCCATTTTATGGCTCAGCCACTCAATATTACATACACGCTCAGATCAAGCAGTGGGCATGGCCAATGTTCCTGGCCCTTTGGAGGAGGTCAGGATGAAAGTTTAAGAGATCAATAGCCTCCCATTCCAAATTGGGCCCATTTTTTTTCCATTTGGGGGTGTTGTGCAGCAAAATGGGTGCCTTAAGATTAAGGCATCTGAATCATGCTTTAAACCCCTCTACAAAGAAACCACAGGAGCCAAATACTTCAGCTGCACCTGTTCTGATAATGCGATTACATTACCAGATACTGTTCCTGTGGTCATTGAGGACAACATTATTTTAAAAATGCAGCCTGTGGTCACGAAAGATTGCCTCCCCTGCCCTGTGCCACAATGCATATGTAGTTGGGTTTTGGGGGGGGGGGTCTGTATAAGCAGTGGTTTATTTGGGGGCAACAAAGACACGTTTTTATAATTATTTGTTGTTTACCACATTGTTGCTTGTTTTAGTCATGGCTTCTGATTATAGTGGAACCAACATAAGGGCTTATGCCTGGCTTATTTCTGATGTGTTTTCATACTTTGTCCAAACCCAGAATACAGAAATTATACTGTGCAATGAAATAATAAAATAACATGCGTGTGTGCACGCACACACACACATATATGGAGAAAAGCTATGCAATCACTAAGAGTTGACAATGATATTATTATTATTATTATTATTATTATTCCTACTTATTTTTATATATAACTCAAGACAGCAAACATACCTAATATTCCTGCCTCCTATTTTGGCACATTATCTATATATCTATATCTACATTTACATCTATATCTACCTATATATGTCTACCTCATATAATCTGATTGATATAATATCCAAACTCTGTGCATGATTTTAAGTTTGAATTTCTGAATCAGAATTACTCCAATAATTGAAATAATTAAAACATTATTGTTTTAAAGGAGGGAGGGAGGGTATGGACAGGAAGGAAGAGCAAGATTTAAAATTATAAAATCTCTTTACGTTAATTAATATCTTTTAAATTAAATTTTAAAATTAAAATCCTTCAAATAATAATGTTGATTAAAAAAGGAGTTTTGCCTTTGGAACAATCCAAGCTGACACGAGATTAGGCTAGAAAGAATGTCCCTTCCCTAAAATGTCTGAGCATTTATAACACAACAATTTAAAATGCTGAGTTAAGCTCTTCTGCAGAAAATCAAAACCTCTATCACTTAGTACCTTTTTTAGTCTCATTGCCAACTGCCATTTCTTTCACTTGTGTCTATAACTCTGTTTGGTTCCAAACTCAAAGAATTATAAATTACAAAGATACAACTCCTTGTCAAATCAAGGATCAACCATGTAATTATATAGTTATACTCCCAAACATGTTGTAGATGATTATTCCTGTCAGTAGTACCTGTTTACCATAATTTGATTTAGAACATTTTGAATTAGGCAAGTATGATTCTATACTGGTATTACTTAGGCATTGCAACAACTTTTAGAGTTAAAATCTAGATTGCAAAAAATCAGCAACATTCACTATTTCCATAACAGGAAGGGAGGAGCTAAAGCTATGGAGTCATTCCTGAGGACAGCTCTGCAAAATAATGTACTTGCCTGAACCTAGTTGTCATGTAAAAACAAAACAATTTCATCCATGCTTGCCCTCAGTAAGATTTCTCCCATTTAATGCTTCTGTGGTAGCATACGCTGAGACAAATGGCTCTCCAGCCCTAATCCTAACCCCAAGATGTAACCTTGTATTTTGAATTAACAGAGATTCAGACTTTCTGTTATTTGTTTTGTCTTTTTTTTTTATTGTTAGTTTATTTACCCTACATACATTGTGTATCAACAGCTATTAGTCATGCTAACTCAGCTTTCCAAATCTGGTGTTCTCCAACAGTTTTGAGACCGCAACTCTTCAGACTGTTCTGTCAATATAAGCAGTTTTTGATACTACAAATTACAGAAGATTTATGCTCATTTTGCAGATTTCCAGAGGCTCTTGACTTGGGTAACTCTATAGGATAGGGCCACAAAAGTTCTGTCATGGAAAAACTGACCTTAAAATGGCCTGTTTTGTGTTGGAGCATTTTTGGAACATCTGGAATGGCTCTTTCTGTAGTAAGAGTGGCCAATGATGGGATGTTTTGCACACCCCTACTACAGGATTCATGGTCAGATCCCTTATAGAACAAGAGACACCTTTGATCCGTGCTTTGGATTTCTCTCCAAATGTGCCTGACCTATGGATAAACATTCTTAATTTCTACTTGCTCCAAAACAGGATACATGGAAGACATCAGTGTGGGGAAAATTGGCCTGAGCATTTCTACTAAATTAGAAACCCCATTGAGATAAGTGAAACTTTTGATTTAGCAACATTAAGATTTCGATGCATGAAAATGATAGTATATCATTGTGTTGAAGTTTAGGACTTTTCTAATCAATGTTTTATTGTAACAGCAATAAAAACACAATGAAACTATCTCAATTCTAATTGGGCTGGTCTGACCTCTTTGTGGTTAAATCATTGCTGTTTTAGTTAACTTCTGGGATATAACTATTTCTAGGTTTAAGGCATCTTATTCTCTTAATTAAAATCATGAAAATTGAATAAGCTATACTGTAGGTATCACACTAGAGATTTTACTGATAACATGTGAGAAAATTAAGAAGTGCTGAAATTTAGTCTGTGGATCTCACAACAAGAATTACTGCCAATAACAAAGTAAAATGAGGACATCATAGTGAGGGCTGGAAAGAAAATGGGAGTGGTCTAGGAGATATTTATGGTGAAAAGGAAAGAATGGAGAATACACGAGGAATTTACATGAAATAGACTCAGAATCAAAGTTCCCCATCAGTTTGATACCAGGATAGAAAGAATGTCTCTAAACCCCAGTTGAGCCAAGGCTATGTTCCCCAAAGTTGGAAGATATCTCTTGAATACAGACTATCAGGAGAGAAAGGCTGCAAACAGATTAAACTATGGGTCACTTTGATAGCTCCACAAGCTGCATTGGTTGCCACTTTGCTTCCGCGTCTAATTCAAGGTGCTGGTTTTAACCCTTAAAGCCCTTCATGACATGGGACTGGGTTATCTGAGGGACTGCTCTCCCCGATTATATCAGCCTGCCCCATTAGATCCAGCACAGAGGGCATGCTGCAGATACCATCTGCCAGGGACTTACATCTGGTAGGTCCCAGGTGGTGGGCCTTCTCTGCTGTGGCACCCATCTTATGAAACATTCTCCACACACACCCCAAAATTAGGTTAGTTCCATCCCTCTTGATGTTCTGGAAGTCCCTCAAGTCCTGGTTATATCACCAGGCCTGGAGGTCCCAGGAAACTGGAGATATGTCTCAATGGCTCCACTATTAAGGTGGATATATCCATTCTTTCTCTGCCTGGGGTTTGTATATTTTTAATTTTAATTAACTTCTATTTTTTAATGTTAACTTTTTATACTTTTTAAATGTTTGTTTTTATATATATGTTGTTTTTTATTTGATTGTTGTACACCGTCCAGTCACTTTTCATAAGATGGATGGCTATATTAATTTGATTAATGAATAAATAAATAGTTCAATCCATCTGTTAGGCCTAATAAATACTTAAATTATTCCTGAAATTATGGAAAATACTTAATTATTCCTGAAAAGGATACAGTCAGAGAAGGTGATCAGGACCAGAGGACAAGAGAGAAGCAGTGCAAAGCCTGCCTTTGCTCTTCTCGGGATATATGACATACAAGCAGGTCTCCTCAAAGCTTGTTCCCTCAAACCATTGTGGTATCTCTGTGCCAGCACAGGGCCTGCTCTAGTTCGTGCCTACGTATCCAGAAGCAGGCCTTGGCCAGCCACCTGACTG